CGGTAACTTACCGATACCGACGATTGTACAGAATAGCGCCCCAGGTGTACTTGAGAAACGAAAGACAGTGTTGTGTTTCTCGTCAGAGTCGTCAGGGAACGACCGTTACGACAGAGACAACCTATCTATCACTCGTGTTGCACTCGTTATAATCGAAAACAATAACACAACAATAACAAGACATTGTCTGACCGCATGTTCCAGCTATTTATGAATGAGATGCTCAGTCTATATTTTATTTTAAGTCTATGGTTGTGATAGTTTAAGCTTGAAAATTATTACCAGCAAACCTTGCGGTCAAACATTGTTCTTTTTAGAACCTCTTTTAGTGCAAAGTGTAGAAAATTATAATTATAAGATTAGACTTAAATATTATGAAAATGAATGGCTGCACAAGTAAAACGATAAGATACATCAACGGAACACCAAAAATAGTAGAAACACAAAAATTTCGGAAGCCAGAGGATTCAGCTCTGCATACCCACAGTTAAGTGTTCGGGTAATTTAGCAGAATGTGCGTGGACACTAAACGCATGTGTTCTTGTTGTCGGTTTCCTCGGAGCTATATGACATTGTTGCGGTTTCGGAGTCACGGATCCAGACATCTACGCGGTATACCGGAAGGATCGGGACTTGCGGAGGTGTTATTTTAGCTGTACAGGGTGGGTCAAATTCGACGCTTTTAAATAGAAACATCCTTTTCTATAGGAGATAGACGAAAACTAATATCGGTGTCTGGAGCTCAATTTTCTTCAAAAACATGATGGTGAAAACCGCACATAAATATTTGTTACCGTTTCGGAGTAACGGGGTGTTTTTAAAAAATGTGCATTTTTAACAAATCGCTGTAACTTTTTTGCTATGGAAAATTTTGTATATCTATGAAAACATTTCCAAAGCACCTTTTTACGTAGAATTTAATGGTATAATTGTAATAATATATAAATAAAATAATTATAATAATGGTAAGTATAATTTTTTTAAAATTAATAATTTAAGAGTTATCAACAGAAAAATTGATTTTTTATTTGGCACACCCTCTATATTTTTAATTAACCGAAAAGAATTTAAAATTACCCTTCCAAAAATATAGCACACTTAATATTTTGTTATATTCACCTTCGAAATACAAAATTTTTAAAAGTTCGCCACTTTTAACTAGTTGGCTTTGGACCCCTCATTGATGATATGCCCTTAATGGAACTCGAAAACATATTTTCCAGTAAGAAGAGGCACCGTCTCAGAACGCTGAAGTTATCAGCACATTTTTGCAGCCAATTTCAAGAATAATTGAATAGCTAACCAAGAGCCCAGCCGTTGGCCGTCGAGGCCGCCTGACTTAGTGCCCACGGATCTAATCCTATGGATATATTTGCTGAAGAATAAACGTTCCATATTCTTCCGTATAATCTAGACAAGAATTAGAAATACTTAGCAGTTATGAGAGGGTATCTTTCACCCCCATTGAGTTAATGAATTCCGCGAGAAATGTTCAAAAACTACCCCGTCACTCCATAACAGAGGACGGTTGATATGTCAAACGCCTCTAGCAAAATCTCATGTCTTGGTTTGCTATTTATTATTATTGTTATTAGATATAGTTTAAATGTGTTGATGTTGGTTAAATATATTTTAAATTGTTATAAAATTCTGCATCTCTCATAGCAAATATTATTTTCGTTTTAATTGATGCTCACAGCTAGAATTTTTTTGCATTACAGTCGATGTCGTTCAAAGCCTACTTATTTAAAGCGGGCGAATTTTTATATACTCTATATCTCGAAGAGGAATCGAGCAAAATATCAAGTGTGTTATATTTTTGGAAAAGTAATTTTAAATTCTTTTCAATAAATTAAAAATATACAGGGTGTCCCATATAAAAAATCAAATTTTCTGTTGATAATTCTTAAATTATTAATTTTAAAAAAATTATACTTAAACCATTAAATTCTACGTAAAAAGGTGCTTTGGAAATGTTTTCATAAAAATACAAAATTTTCCATAGCAAAAAAGTTACAGCGATTTGTTAAAAATGCACATTTTGGAAAAACACCCCGTAACTCCGAAACGGTAACAGATATCGATATGCGGTTTTCACAATCATGTTTTTGACAAAAATTGAGCTCCAGACACCGATATTAGTTTTTATCTATCTCCTATAGAAAAGGGTGTTTCCATTTAAAAGCGTCGAATTTGACCCACCCTGTACATTCGAGGTTGCATAACGGGACGTTGAACAATTGGCAATTTTTTTTGCGACATAGAAACAACTAACACCCACTAGTACCTAAGGATGCAACCCATCCCGCGTTAGATATTATCGCTACAGTTTGAATCTAGTAGTATTCTTCCGTGCAAATTACCTGTAAAGCGATATAATTTTTATAAGGCCAATTATTATTGAATTAATTATGTATTTTTTATATGAGATATACGATTATTCTCTTGAGAGGTGCAGAATACAAAATAACTTAAGTTTTATATTTAAATTGTGCACCAACTTGATAGAATGTACTTAATTGTTAAACAAAATAAACTTTGGGGTCCCGATTGCTAATACTCGACAGTGTGAATTTTATCAGCCATTGGCGACATCAAATCTGCAGCAGAAAGCGCCCATATACCGTTCTTGCTTCCTATGGAACAACTTAGCAAATTATAACAATATTAGTATTAGTATAGACCTAGTTAATATTGTCTTGTAATTGGATTTTTTAATCTGTTAGACAATAAAGCATATTATTATTATTATTAAGATAGCTTAGTAGCCGTAAAAAACTCATCGCAATTTTATTAGAATAGTTTAAACGGGGAAGCGGTAGTAATGGCCCTTTATGTCCGTCAAGTGCAATTAAGGAAGTAAGTTTTGTTGATGTAAATCATTATCATCATCATCATCATCATTATTTTCAGCTTACTCAACCATTTCCAGTTATGCTGTAACCTCCCTCACATACCCTCTTTGTAGTTGGGCCCATTGTTGTCTATTGTTGGCTATGCGGGCCCAAGTTATCCCTGCTAATTTTCTATCATGTTCCCATCTTAAGGAGGGTCCACATTTAGTAACATGTTATATAACATTGCTATTTAACAAGCTACATGTAACATGTTAAAAAACCGGGAGCCGTCCACATTATAGTTTTCGTAGTCATGAATCGTTTTGGCGAGAAAGAGGTTCAGCTCGCAGCAGGGGCGTGCGTAATTATTTTTGAACTAAGGGAAAGAAAGTCGAGAAAAAAAGCAGTTTTGAGTCCGCCATAGCCTACCAGCCAGGTCTAGATATAGTTGAACTCAATTAGCTTATCTTTTCAATACTTGCCTCGGCTGTTTCTCGTGGTGTGTTGCTGTCTTTTAAAAACATTAATAATTTACAGTACGTCTCGTCTGCTGGATCTGCGTCTATGAAAGGAATGCAGACAAAAAACATTTAAATAAACAGCAATATATTCTATACGTCGATTTGACGAGTGCGTCACCGCAAATCGCTCCGCCCACTCATTTTATTAGCTACTTGCAAATTTGTGGAATTTTTATTGATGGGACGCGTCGTCTATTTTTTACGAAAAACATCGAGAGAATATCGTTTCCCCTCTCACGGATACCCCGTAGCTACAGAACGGAAGACGTACTGTAAAAAGCAAAAGCAAAACCATTTTGAATTATCCACTTCATCTAAACCATGCAGTTCCTCGATTTGCATTTCTTTGTTCCCTGAACTGGCCTATTAGATTACGCATTTTTCTCAACTTTTTCTGTTTCCAAATACATACTATGAAATGAAAATCGCTGTCATTTTATATGGAAAATTATATGGGGAATGTCATCGATCGACATGTCCAAGCCAACTGGACGGAGGCCGAAGCCGACGGGACGCAGTTTTTCTGATCATACGGTATTATTGACCAGTAAATAAACAAACCAATATCAGCTCACCACACTAAGATTCTGTCGCGCACGTCCCCTGAAATATGAGCGGCTAAACTAGAAATTTAGCAAGTGTGGACGCGTTGTTTCATGTTACAATAGCAATGTTGCACAACATCTTTTGATCTTTACCGACTACAAATGGATAACATCTAGCAAGTTATATAGCATCGAAATTTGCTAAATATAACTAAAAAATATGTAACATGTTATATAACTTTGCTATATAGCAGTGTTATATAGCAAGTGTGGACCGTCCTTTAGGTTCGCTCTGCCTCTAGGTCTCTTAATTCCTCGTGGGTACCATGCTGTAATTTTTGAGGTCCATCTGTTGTCCGTTCTTCTTGCCAGGAGCCCTGCCCATTGCCATTTGAGGTATTTGACTCTGTGGATGACTTTATTACCTGGGTCTTTTGTCGTATCCACTTTATTCTTTTACAGTCTCTGTTGGTTATTCCCAGCATATTTCGTTCCATTGAGCGTTGTGCGACCTGCAGTTTCCTTTTGATGTCCGTTTTAAGTGTCCAGGTTTCGCATGCATAGGTCAAGACTGGTAGTACACATTGGTCGAATGTTTTCTTCTTTAGATAGAGAGCCATTACTACCGCTTTCTCGATCAAATTATTCTAACAAAGTTGCAATAAGTTTTTTACGGCTATTAAGCTATCTTCTACATTTCACACTAAAGGAAATTCTAAAAAGAACAATGTTTAACTGCAAGGTCTGCTAGTAAAAATTTTCAAGCATAAAATATCACAACACAATTCATCTAAACCAAAAACTTGTAATACAAAATTAAAGTATCAAAACGAATGACAATGTCCGGAAATAAATAAATAAATGTGGCAACTTGACATTTTTTACAGCAGAGCTACCACCTGAATACGCAGCGTAAAATTAAAATTCCAGTTAGTCAGCTCGGTGCCGAATATATCCAAGGTTGGCAACAATGAATTTAAAATTGCGCCCTCGATTACGTAACTAAAAGTTTAATTGGTATCAAATATATATTTTTCTATTTAATCTAAGACACATAAATAACTAAAACTTATTGGGTATACCATGCATTTTATTACCTTATTATAATATTTGGCATGCAATAAAATCGAAACTAGTAGAATCACAAACGAGGGTATCACATATAAAAAGAAGGCCCAAAAAGGGCGCGCGTACCAACTCATGGTACGTTCCAGACTAATCAAGCAGGACGCCGATAGAACACCAAACAGAACACAAATAACCCAGGATATCAAAATGCCGCCGATGCATTGAAATAATCTCTTAAAATATGACCGTTTACTAATACCTAAAAAAGAAAATCACTCAGTTAATGAATTGTTTAGATCTTTGAATAAGAAGACTAAGAAAGGAGCATATCAAAAATCTTAGGTCCACCGCGATGGGACTCAAATATGGCCGACTTAAATTCCGGTTTATCAGTGCCGTTCTAATTTTATTTAAAAAATGTAAAACTATGATGTAGGGTAGACGTGGGGTAGACTCAATCATTTTTTTTTATTTTACGTTGTGAATAAATGTTGGTAGTTATTAAAATTGTTATAAAAACATATTATTATAATAAAAATAGATAAGTTTTAATAATTATTTATTAACACAAACATCCGATATGCTACTGAAGCAGGTAAGTCAAATTGGCATATCTAAATTCTTTGATAAGTAGTAAATAAAAGCAAAAATGCAAAATATATAATTAGTTAATTTAAGTGAATTTCATAAATGATCGGTTTACTACACGTATGTATATTATATAGTCACTTACTAGCGAAAGGTTGTTCCATTATTTCACTCGATTTTTGTCGAGATCTACCGCACGCTACACAACCAACTATTTTAGACTCTTTTTCGATAAATCGCGATAGTGTCATTGTTAATTTAAGTTCTACGACAATTTCCATCTAGATTTACTACCTTTATACAACTATCAGTAGTAGAATAAATAATAAATAACATAAAATAAGCTCCGTAAAGACTGACAAATCCACAAAATTTCAAATCAAATTCAAATGTGTCAAATGAATCGTCAAACAGAACTGTCAAGGATCCCCACCCTAGAGTCTTTTTTCCGCCCACCATGCATGAATACATGGATATAGTCTGTGAAACGAATAACTTTGAATTTGACAGTTCCCACGGGCTTTTCTAGTGTTAATTTTATTAGGTTAGCAACTTGCGACCATGCTGACGCAATGCCGTCTCTAATAGCCTCGGAGCGAGATTTATGACGTCACGCTAACATAATTATTCCTTATATTTGACTATGGCTGAAATCGTACTCCATAGTCAATGTAGATAGTTTTAGTGTTAAGAATAATAATTTTAAAAAAATATGTGGTCATCTTTTGACAAGTTTATATTAGTTTATTAATTGCAGTAAACATTATGTGGTTTGGTTTGGTGTGAATATTTTATATGCAATTTTTGGATTATATTCGACACTATATTTTTATATGACACAACACTGATGAAGGCTATAATGTTAGCCGAAAAGTTTTTTTAAACCAAAAAATAATGAAGAACCTAATAAAAACTTAATCAGCGTTTTTCGCGAACCTAAATCCCAAGAAAATCAAAAATTTTAGAATAATTTTACATTATAAAATGAATCGCTGTCATTTTATAATGCTTTATTCATAGCCATCGCTGACGCATTTTTTTCTATGATATTGTATTATTTGCAAATATAATTTTTAATGATACTTGCAAAATATATGTACATATAAATTTTGTGAATGCAAATAATAATACATCACTATTAGTATATATTGAATGTTTTTTGTTAAATTAGATCGATTTTCAAGCCCCAAAATTTAAAATATATTTTACATTTTACACATTATCTTATGTACCTATTCATTATATGTATATTGTAAAACATTTGCTGCATTTGTATGGTTCATAGTTTATTTGCCAAAGTATTTATTACAAAAAATGGGTATATATTATATTTATTAACTGTATATTATGTATATTTCATGTAAACTATATCATTTCTAAAATACAAACCAAAAATACGAGGAATAATTATGTTTTCCATGTATTCTACAACATATTTGTTAATCCGTATCTAATTAGCGTGACGTCATAAATCTCGCTCAGAGGCTGTTCTATTACAGACGGCATTTATCTCTGATATTTAGAAATGTCAAAAGCTGATGACATTTTACTTTTGACAATTATGCCATTTCGTGTTGATTTTTGCAAGAAGAGGAAGAACTGTCACTTGTTTTATTATTTTCCTTTTCTATTTCACGTTAAGTAAAAAGAGTTACCTATCTCATTCGTTCAGGCACTCATTTTAAAGAATATCAGTAACTTTTTTGACAGAGGGATTTTATATTTGCCATGTTGGTAAAAAATAACGGTCAAAATTCAAAGTTATTCATTTTATAGACTATAGCATTATGCTCCATATGTATGCTCCTTCCTTAGTCTTCTTATTCAAAGTATTAGATTTAAGTAATTTAAGAAACAACTTACTATTAAAATGTTGGGCTTCTGTAGCATTTACAACAATACAATAAATAGAAGCTATCACAGACAAAAGGTTAACGATATCGGCTACCGGCATGGGCCACCTAATAACGAAGGCACCCAAAAAGTCGAAAAACACCAAATTTCCTGGCCGGTACTTTTCGACGTTGGACAGCTGATGCCCTTGGGCCATTCCCTTGGCTAGGGAGAGAATATTGTCGCCGGTGCGCTGTAACGATCCCACGGGGATCTGATCGATTGTGTCGAATTTGGTGTGGTACACGTAGCCGTTTGAGGACCATGCAAAATCCAAACCTAGAAAAGGCGTATTATACATGATAATTAATAAACGTAAAGCTTCATTTAGAAACTCGCAATTAGTGGAATAAATTAGTGGTTTCAATTACACTTTATACTTTTTAGTTTACGATCATTCACAATGTTTAACTTTCCAGAAGGGCTAAAATAAATGTTTTTCTTTCCAGAAATAATTCTGGTAATTAAATAAAAACAAATATTTAATACTTTACTATCAGAATATAAACAAAAATAAAATAAAAAAGTCTTTGCCCTGACCCAGATTCGAACTCTGAATCATCGGTTCGTGGTCGGAAACTCTACGCACTGCTCTATGGAGACATGTTCGATTTATATTCAGTACTAGAATTTAAAGGACTAATAAAAATATTTCTTCCTTTGATCTTATTTAGATCTTCTTTCAATGCGCAGTAGGGAACGCAACGTTTACCGGCAGCCAGACGGGCCGCATGCTGTTTTAGAGAGCATAGTAAAAGATATATCAGAGAGCCAGAAGTCTTAAAATACTTGTTTTTCCGACGTTGCTAGCTACTGTACTATTAAAAACGATGTATTTTAGGTATAGGAACACGTATATTCAAAAAGCATCGAATTGGAAAACCTTTTCACTAGTGAAATAAAAAAAGTGGGTTTCCACCAAGGATACTATAGAGGTAAAGGATAGTTCGATTCCTATCTTCCTGCACTGTCAGTTTTTTTACGTCATCTGGGGACCGAGTTGAAGTTGGCGCTAAAGATTTTAGACGGTTATTTTTGCATTTGACGGACGAGCGCACAGTGCGTTGGAAGATAAATTTAGCGGGACAAAAGCGTTTGGTTAGAAATAAGCCAAAAAATGTGTACTGTAAGAATAAATAGTAGACATTCCAATTGATATAAAAATGCATGAATATTCTTTGTATTTCGATACATTTTTATCAATCAAATTTGGCCGTTTTCGAGATCATATGAAAACAAAATATTTACAAGTGCTTATACATTTTATTCCAAAGCCAAATTATGTTGAAGATTGCCAAAGGTATGTACTTTTCTACTGTACGTATATTATTTGTTAAAATCCTTCGTGCCTTTGTTCTGCAGATATCAAACTTTAACTTTTTTCAAATATCGATATATTGAATGATGTAGATCTTTTGAGTTACCAATAGTTACCAACACAGGTAGTCACAGTCACAGGAAGTTCAAGCTTAACAGGTGAATGCCCAAAAAGTTTAATTTCAATCGCATATTATAAAAACAAAACAACTCCATCAAAAGGCACTGATTTTAAAAAATTGTCTTAGATACTTACTATATATGAATTTACAATTATCGAGTGTTAAAATTAAAATTAAAATATCTATCTTAATTAATATTTTTAAAATAAAATATAGAGGGTGTCACAAGATTACAAAGTAATTAAAAAATAACTGCTAAATAGTTTTTGTAAGTATTTCACCTGATATCATAATTTTATGTATTTGGCAATAGTTTACAATACGGTTTTTGTGTGTCATGTACGAATAATATCATAGTTTTATTATCTTGTATTTATTTATTAATAAATTAAGTTGTTAATAAATAAATAAATTTAACCATATAGTTGCTATATATTAGACCATTTGCTACGTTCTTAGGTGTTAAGTCCCAAACATTGCTCTTGAGATTTTGCCCCGCTAGAATAACCATCCGCCCCACTGTGGAGCGCTGGTCAGCGCGTGACGTAGCATTCCACGGCGACTACGACAGCGGCGATTTGACGCGATCGAACAGTCCTTTAGAATATATTATACAGTCCTTGGGTTTCCACTTCAAAAAAAAATTATGATAATTTTTTAATCGCTCAATTCCATGACAGCTATATGACATTTGAACAATTTAATTTTTGAAATAGATAGCCACATGTCTTCTCTTTATGTCACAGTGGCTGTGGTAATCACTAAATTTTACTTTTAGGTTATACAATTTATTTTGACAGGTAGTTTTTTTCGTCCAAAAATTTTAAATATTTTTTTTCCCAAAAACGGTTAATGTTAGGAATAAAGTGTTTAACATGAATATTCATAGAATGTTACAGAAAATTTAAGAATGTAATAAAAAATAGAGACACCCATTTAAAATAAGAAAGTTGCTGTCAACTTCCGGTATTTCCGGAAGTGCCGCCATATTGAAAATATTTTTAATCGATATATCTCGTTGTAAAACAATGATGTGCAAAAAATCTCCGATCTAGATATTGTGGTCCTGTATAAACTTCGAATGCACGCTCCGCCTGGGACACCCTGTATATGTGTAGAACAGAAATTAGGATTGATTGACGTATTCAGTTAGTTTCAGTCACTTCCTATTTCACCGGATATAACTGCAACTTTTTTTGCATCTGAGTGTAATTGCGACATGAAACATCTTTTTAAAAGTCAAAGAATTATCCAAAGTGTCACTTTAAATGTGAAAATTAGAAAGAAATAATTACCTGACACATTTCCAAAGTCTCTAAATATCCGATAGTCGGTATCTCCGGGAATGACACCGCTCTGGAAAATTTCTTGAGCGAGCGACGAAGCGTACGGATAAGGCACTTCTTCGGAATAAGTTTCCAGAATCCACGGATGATTCGGTCCAGCCTGGAACAAAATTTCTCTACCGCCTGCCCCGCAAGCCTCTAAATTAATAAAGGCTCTAACCTGGAACAACATATTATAAATTATAATATAGTGTAAAGTTTTGTGGTGTTAAGGTAGAGCATTTCCAAAACAGTAGTTTCAGTATACAGATTTGGTCACCGTAGAAGCGTGGCCTGGAGTGTAAAGCTTGATTTTCATGCATCCGTTGTCCGACGATACGATGATACGATATTAATTTTATTGGTTAAATTTAAAGACTTCAATTGGTTAGAAAATTATGCAGTTTTTAAATTTATTGCATTTAAAAAAGCTGGTTCTTTAATATATCTTTTGCTATGCTCTCCTGAAAAGAGTGCGGACCATATGGCTGCCGGTAGACGTTGCGTTCACTACTGCGCATCATATCTGTATTCAACATTTGTTCACTACTGCGCATCACAAATTCGCCTTGTATTTCAGGAACTAAGAAGGCTAGGACAAACCTTTGTGTAGTATATTTAGTTTCATAAAAAAGTAGCAAAGTAATGTGAAAATCGCATCATTATATCTCTACTCATAAACGAAAAATCTCATAAAGCACTTGAAAATAGGATACCTACTCTGTACAGATGTGATGCGCAGTAGTGAACCGAGAGCCAGACGGCCCGCACTTTGGTCAAGAGAGCTATTTTTATTAAGGTTGGATGAAACTTGCTAAAAAAGTGTCAAAACGTCCGTTATCGTGCAATCTTTCTCCGTTGACGAGCTGGAGTAAAAAATTTAAGAATGAAAACAATAACTCACAATCATAGTTATTAGTTTAGTAACTAAAGTCAAAATTAACAGCTTTTTGAATTTAGTACAAATTTTATTGGTTCCATGGCGTGTAGCCCGTGACACTGCGTAGTTTTAAAATGAAGCTTTACACCTTAAAATACGTTTAATACCGCTATTTCTAAACTAATCCGAACAAACCAATGAATAATTATTATTTATATAGTATTTGTAAAGAGTGACTAGAGACATTTTATTCCAAGTTTTCAAGCAACAGAACTGAGCATTATTAAATAGCTTAGATATATTATCTTCATTCATTATGTTATTAATTTGACATGCCAAATGACAACACTGTTTGCCGCTTTTTATTGTCTCTCTCTGTCTGTCAACTGGTCGGATATATTAATCTCTGTCGTATGTATTAAAATATACAATAATATGGTATGTCTTCTCACCTCTTTGGCCCATTTGTGCTGGGTAATAAAGCCGTGTGAAGCCGGCATAAAATTTTCCTCCCCACCATTGAACAGAAATATAATGTTGTGTCTTAATATTTGCTTCGATACAGCCATCACTCTTAATATTTCTAACATTACAGCGCAACCGGCACCGTCATCGCTAGCCCCTAAAAAAATTAAAAACATCATATCTACTAAATAAAAACTTGTGTGATTAATGAGAATTCCAAAAAAGACTGTAAAATAGTCATGCAGTTGCGGTAGATCGCAGTCAAAAATCGAGATAAATAAGAAAATTCTTCTTCTTCTTAGAGTGCCTAGGGTGGAACTCTGTAACTAAACAGCGATCGGTAGCGATGAAGAATAATGTCACTTGCCGTTTAGTTTCTTGCTCATAGTTTATGAATTATATTTTGTCAAATTTCTTTAATTTCGACATTGACTCACTGACACATCATCAAAAGTCTAGGGTACTTCTAGAATACAAACTTCAAATTTTGAATTTTGGGTAGCTTTTAACTTATAACCAAAGGAAAAAATGTGTAGTGGTTTTGGTTGTTGTTGTGATTGATGAATTGTTTGTATGATTGTTGAAAGATTGATGATTGGCATGTCTAGGTAGTCTGATGAGTTTGATATAAGGTTGAGATGTTTTGATACCCAAAAACCACGTTCCGCTACTTTAAACTAAATAACTATTTATTGCCACTAACGATACGCTAAAGATACAGACAGAATATTATTTATAATATACATTAACACGATTTGTTGAGATGTTGAACAACGGCGTGTTTCAACGTGGATGGTCAGCCATGTTATTGCTGCTTTTTTGTTTTTTGGCGGGATCGACTGCTTTCTTCGTAGCCACAGTTCGGTCGCTTGTATGTTGCCAACTTACGTTTTGTTTTGGCTATGGTGTGTCACCACAAATGAAAAATCTCAAAATATTCTTATGGGGTGCTTGTCAGATATAACACCCTCCGAATTTGGCATTTATTTATATATCAGTCGAAAGCATACACTTAAATAAGAATTTTAAGCAAAAAAAATTGCGGATGAACCACAATTTATTGAAAAATACATAAATTAAAAGTGCATTTTTAGGTAATGGTGAAGTTGTATAAGCGTGTAATTATTGTAAAAGATGACGATTATATGCATTTTTTTATTAATATAAAGGTCAGAATTAATCATTGAGAAGCATTAATAAGTCATAAATCAATAATAGAGTTGGTTGTGAGCCGGAGCCGTCTGTCACCATTTGTTGTTAAGCTGCGTAAGCATTGTTGCTAAAGTTATTTCTTGTTTGTATGATACATAATACTGTATGATCGAAAAAAAAACGGCGTCCAGTTGGCTTGGAAATGACGATCGATGACATTCCCCATATAATTTTACATATAAAATGACAGCGATGTTCATTTCATAGCCATGGCTAACGCCGTTTTTTTTTCGATCATACGACGGTGCGTTACATGATACAAAAAAAGAGTTGAAACCGAAAGAGTTTTGATTGCGCTGGTTTCAACCTTTTCGTGAGGGTGTTAATCTTTTGTTATGTTTTTTTTTATTTTAATACGAATCTGATTGCTTTCACTTGATTTTACGTGCCGGTCGCCGGACGAACAAATCCTTATACAGTAGCGCTGTCACGATAAGAACAGATTATAAGTTATTTTAAAGTCAAGATATTGAAAGCACTCAGATTCGTATTAAAATATAAAAAAACAAGGGACTAACCCCCAAAGAAGTTGAAACCAACGCAATCAAAACTCTTTCGTGCAACTTTGTAGTTATAAATAGTCAGATCTCGTAGGCAAAATATCAGCTATGGGTAGGAGCAGTTCCTCAGGCGATCGCCTTTTCTTGATTTCAAAATAATTTATAATCTGTTCTTAACGCGAGTTTTCTTCCGACCAGCACGTGTTTTTTTACAACGCCGACAAAATTTGAAGGAGTTTTCGCATAGAAAGTAGCCTGTTGTAACAATAATTAGATGTTTATTTTTTCATTAAATTATGGATCATCCACACTTTTTTTTGGCTTGAAATACTTATTTCGATGTATGCTTTCGAGTGATATAAAAAAAAGTACAAAATTCGGAGGGTGTTATATATGACAAGCCACCGGATAATGCTTACCTGGACTATCTACTACTGTGTCAAAATGACAATTAATCAACAAACTATGCGGAGAATTGATCTTCGATCCTACTTTAACGACTATATTTTGTACGTCTTGATAAACATTCGTCATGCCATCTAGAAACTCTAAATTGAAAGCTCCCGACACTTTTTGTACGTCTACTTCTATTATATGGTTATGGTGTGCTTGTTTCACTATTAAATCTATCTCGTCTGTGAGGAATTTTACTGCTAAGACTTCGTTTTCGTAACTGCCGGCAGGTCGTGGACCTAAAACAAGATTAACTTAATGAAAAAACAATCATAGAACTAGTAGATAATGCAGTAGTCTAGCAATTAATCAACCTAACCTATTACTACTAGAGTTTCCCTTTGAAACATATATGTATTGCAAACAATTGACAACATTTTTTTAAATGTTTTAAATTAAATACAATTATTGCTAAAAAAATATGATGATTATTTCAGGCTAATAACAATAACCAGTCAAAATGTTTAATTTTGCCTTGAATGTGTTCATTATTTAGATTCCAAATATCTTGAGAGATATTACTCGTAGCGATTTTTACCAAGAGACCTTTTGTACGTAAAAAACGGCGGAAATGTATATTTTTTCACTCTGTAGTATAATACAGGTACGGAAGAAAAGTTATTACACTTCAAAACAGTTTAAAAAGATGTAAACGTCGTACAAAATAAAAACCGTTGCATGTCATCGAGCTTGTGCGTTGATTGTAGACAGCATTGTTGCCAGATTGTAATCGGAAGAGAAATATTTTTGAAAAATTTACTATATCTAAGATCTATTAAAAATTCTAAAATAAACTTTAAATTGTTAACACTTTTAAATAGTTTCAAGCAGCGCTGAAAAAAATATTTTTAAACAAAACATGTTTTTTTATTGTTTAAAACAAATTTTTATGGTTTTAAAGAACATTGTAAATACAAAGTCGAAAATATGTTCACAACACTTTTATACTCTGTTTTAAACCATATCATGTTGAGTAATGATAAAGCCAAAGGACAAAACTTAATTCGATTTTAGAAACCTTAATGGTGCTCCTCCAAGTAGTAGTACAGAATTAATAGTTTATTTAGACCTTTGAATAAGAAGACTAAAGAAGAAGCATATCAAAAATCTTAGGTCCACCGCGATGGGCCTCAAATATGGCCGACTTAAATTCCGGTTTATCAGTGCCGTTCTAATTTTATTTAAAAAATGTAAAACTATGATGTAGGGTAGACGTGGGGTAAACTCAATCATTTTTTTTTTATTTTACGTTGTGAATAAATGTTGGTAGTTATTAAAATTGTTATAAAAACATATTATTATGATAAAAATAGATAAGTTTTAATAATTATTTATTAATTTTAAAATTTAAAACATCCGATACGCTACTGAAGCAGGTAAGTCAAATTGACGTATCTAAATTCTTTGACATCTAATCTTTGACAAGTAGTAAATAATAGCAAAAATGCAAGAAAAAATATATAATTAGTTAATTTAAGTGAATTTCATAAATGATCGGTTTACTACACGTATGTATATTATATAGTCACTTACTAGCGAAAAGTTGTTCCATTATTTCACTCGATTTTTGCTGAGATCTACCGTACGCTACACAACCAACTATTTTAGAGTCTTTTTTGATAAATCGCGATAGTGTCACTGTTAATTTAAGTTCTGCCACAATATCCATCTAGATTTATTACCTTTATACAACTATCAGTAGTAGAATAAATAATAAATAACATAAAATGAAAAATTAAGTAAAGACTGACAAATCCACAAAATTTCAAATCAAATTCAAATGGGTCAAATGAATCGTCAAACAGAACTGTCAAGGATCCCCACCCTAGAGTGCTTTTTCCGCCCACCATGCATTAATACATGGATAGCATTATGCTCCTTCCTTAGTCTTCTTATTCAAAGATTTAGACAATATTAAGTTGAGCTGATTACTCTGTTTTTTATTCCGTTTTTATTATATTTGTTTTTTATTTTGAAAGAGTTTTTCTCATTTTTTATTTAAATAAACACCTACACACCAAACCTATTTAATACTCTGTTTTAAACAAATATTTAAAACAAGTAATGGTGTCTTAAAAACATTGTTTTAAACATTTTGTTTAATTAATAACAGTCTGGGTTTCGGGCAATTCAAAATATTATCTATTATAAAGAGTGGTAAATGATTATAAAATATATAGGCAACTTTTTGAAATATTTCAAGAATTAATAAGTATTTTCCATAGAAGATTAGTAGGTTTTGTTTCTCAAAATAAATAAAAAACTCACTTCACTGGTCTACTTTAAAATACTTTATTATAATATACCTAACAGGCCGTTATTGTCCCTTTCTTTCTCAAAATATTGTATCAGAGATGACACTAATTCTTGGCACCGACTATTTAACTGCTTAGACATTTTTCAAAGAAAAAGCTAACAACTACTATAAAAAATATTCTGAAAACAACAGTTTTCGATCGATAGATAGGGTTTTAAAAGATACAATACACACGAGACACAACTCTCAACTAACGTTCAGAAAATTCTGGCAAATGTCAATTAAATGTGGCAGCGCTGCAACCGGTTCCTCGCCGTTGCCAACACAATATCGAGTGGGAGATTTAAAACTCATTGAAAACGTCCCATAAGGGCCATATTTGTGTAGTGGTAGCACTGCACACATTTATTAGCCTAATCGATAGCCCGAAACGGTTTTTATTTTGTACGATGTATAGGTGGAGTTTCCTATTAAGTAGGGGTCGTATTGACATCAAAAACAAATTTTTCCTGCCAAAAAATACCCTGACGACAATTTTCAACCAAATATCGACATTAGTTCAGAAATTATTTTAAAAAAATCGAAATAAAAATGTAACTTTTACACCCTGTATCTCCGAAATGAAGCATTTTAGGATATAAATTTATACAAACTTTTCGAACCACCCTGTATATTAATAAAGTTTTCCAGTGTTTTAACAACCGCTACTGAATAATTAAATTGACTGTGTGTATGAAAAATTTAAAAGTTTGCTCATTGACTCAATATTGATATTTCTGTTTAAAATTTTATTTCAAACAGTTACTTAATTATATACCAGTAAAAGGTTTGTTTACATTGATGGTATACTTAAAATATATTTTCAGTTTCGAACTATATTTTAAACTTGGTAAATTGCATGGGGAGTTGTCCTACAGCTGTTCTACTATTTCGTAGAAAAATTGAAGAAAATAACAACTAACCGTTGCATTCGCGAAGTAGGTAGTATTTTTCAAACGAAAACGTGTAATTTGTCACTTAATTAGACTTAAACAGGAAACATATTTTTTTCGTCTATTACTGTGACGATAAAAGCAAATGCATAAGATACTTATGTTTTGGTATTTTATAAAAAAATATATATTTTTACATTGAGACGTCAGTAGGTTACACGGTCGGCAATTTGTGGCTCTTGGTGCCGATTTTCATGTGTATGGAAAGTCCAGTCAATGTGTTCAGTACGAAAAAAAATGAAGTAAGAAGAAATTACTAAAATTCAAAAATAAAAAAAAACTTAATATTAATATCAAGGGTTCTGCTAGGCGCCAAAATTTTTGTTTTTAAATTTACTTTCAACTTTTTAACAACATAAGATTTTTTTTTATTTTGAAACATCCTAGTGTTCATTCTTTTATCAAACACCGTGTATATTGCCTTGTAATGTTGTAAGAGTATTAAAATCTCCCAAGCAGCATTTGGACGTCGGGACAACGTTGTGTCACGCGACCAAACGTCGGGGCGCAACGTCGGCACAACCTCGTGCCAACCCTAGTCTGCACTAGTTTGGAGAATAATTTTTGGGTCGAAACGACGTTGGATACCGACGTTGGCTAGAAGCCTAATTTAGTACAAACTGCAACGTTGTTTAAAATCCTAATTTACAGAAATACAAAACTAATATGGCATCTAAGGCGCGTTTTATCCTAAATTGGGATAATTATAGTAAAAATATTATTTTTATGATTTAGTTAGAGACATATGTCAGATGGCAGTGAAGGAAAACAAAACTTTGTCACTAACTTGGTCCGCCACACAAGCACAAGGTTTTTATCCGCAGATCAAGTTCGCAGGCCAAATCCTCAGACCAAATCCTCTGCTGTATGGGAGGCTAATCTCCTTTTTATCCCAAAAAGACTTGTACAGGGTGGGTCAAATTCGACGCTTTTAAATGGAAACACCCTTTTCTATAGGAGATAGACGAAAACTAATATCGGTGTCTGGAGCTCAATTTTTATCAAAAACATGATGGTGAAAACCGTACATCAATATCTGTTACCGTTTCGGAGTTACGGGGTGTTTTTCAAAATGTGCATTTTTAACAAATCGTTGTAACTTTTTTTGCTATGGAAAATTTTGTATTTCTATGAAAACATTTCCAAAGCACCTTTTATGTAGAATTTATCGAGTTTATATAATTTTTTAAATTAATAATTTAGAGTTATCAACAGAAAAAATTGATTTTTTATTTGGAACACCCTCTATATTTTAATTAACTGAAAAGAATTTAAAATTACCTTCCAAAAAATATAGCACACTTGATATTTTGTTATAATTCCTCTGAAATACAGAATTTTAAAAGTTCGCCACTTTTAACTAGTAGGCTTTGGACCCCTTATTGATGATATGCCCTTAATGGAACTCGAAAACATATTTTCCAGCGAGACGACGCACCGCCTCAGAGCGCTGGAAGTTATCAACAAATTTTGCATCCAATTTCAAAAATAATTGAATAGCTAACCAAGATTCCCGCCGTCGAGGCCGCCTAACTTAGTGCCCATGGATCTAATCCTATGGATATATTTGCGGAAAAATAAAGGTTCCTTATTCTTCCTTATAATCTAGACAAGAATTAGAAATACTTAGCAGTTATGAGAGGGTATCTTTCACCCCCATTGAGTTAATGAATTCCGCGAGAAATGTTCAAAAACTGCCCCGTCTGTCCATAACAGAAGATGGTCGATATGTCGAACACCTGTAGCAAAATCTCATGTCTTGGTTTGCTATTTAGTTTTATTGTTATTAGATATAGTTTAAATGTGTTGATGTTGGTTAAATATATTTTAAATAGTTATAAAATTCTGAATCTCTCATAGCAAATATTATTTTCGTGTTAATTGATGCTCAAAGCTAGATTTTTTTGCGTTACAGCCGGTGCCGTTCAAAGCCTACTACTATTTAAAGCGGGCGAATTTTTATATACTCTATATCTCGAAGAGGAATCGA